ATCAATAAGATTTGAGCTTTACTACTTCTATGCCCTCAAAGATGAGGAATAGTTAGAGGAATTGGAGCTACACATGAATATGCATATATTTCTTAGGGGGTAAGTGTGTTGCATGATCTAGAGTATGAAATAAGGGAAATATTTTGTAAACATCTTGTAGCATCTCCCTTTTAAGTATGGCACACTTTACACCCATAAAAAAGACTCTACTAGATGTGACTTTTCAGACATCCTAGGATATTTAAATATAATGCTCTGATACCAAGTTTTTTACGACTTGAGTCTACATACTACACGTGACCAACACTTAAAGATCATGAACGACTCTAAGTGGACCCTTGGTACTGCATGTTGCTAATGAACTGATCCTATATTTTTTAAATGCAAGTGTAAGATGAAACTCATTTAACTAAAACATATACTTAATATAAGTCTGAACAAAATAATCAAAAATCCATGAGACCAAACAATTTATGTTTGACTATAAGCCTTTACTAACTCAAATGCAGAAAAGAGTTTGCCAGGACATGGCTCCCAACTACCTTAAAATAGATATTATCCCTAATGAAATGTATAACTAATAGCTAATCCATAAAGTCCCATAATGAGGAGGACTCATCAACTACTGACTGGAATGTTGTAACTTGTATAGACACGAGTTTGAGAATGAACGCCTAAATCTTAATCATAAAATGATGTAGCGCAAAGTACCGTCATTCTATGGAATGTATTGGTATGTAGGGTAAGGACTGAGATAAAAAAATACACAAAAAAATAATGAACTATAACTCATGAGTTATACAAAAATTATAACTGAAGAACTAAGAGTTAAATTGTGACATATGACATAATATTGCAAAAACAAAATTGTATATCTCAGACTACTTTCCCAGAAATCATGTTTGAAAGGAAGCATACCTGAAAATCATGTTATCTATGAAATTTATAAACATAATATCAAGAAGACATAAAATAAATGAAGTAAATTTGGTGGGAGTTTCTCTTGACCGACATATATCGTGTGAGCTCATGATGCACCAACTTAAAATCTCAGTTGGGAGGGCTTCCCTATACCTTGCTAGGGTATAAAACCTGTTTGTGTAATGTGGATCCACTAAACTGAGCCTTTTAGGGCTAAATGGTCAACCGACAAGTAGTGAAACATAATCCTATGGTTGCATGTAGTTCTAGAACTTGGGCTATCTAGAACCCTAATCATTCTAAGTATAAAATGGAAGTACAATAGTCAAGAGTCCATAATCATGAATAAATAATTTTAAGAAATCATGCAATTCGGGTCATATATGCGATGAATTTGAAAGTGGGCTGGATAACCTTAACTATGGAATTAAGTTAGTGAAAATTGAGAAATCTTAGACATGAGGATGAAAGTATTCCTCATTGAAGTCCTACATACCTTATTAAGGAAGCAGAATGGACAATCATGGAAGATGAACCCTAGCCTTGGTTTTTCTTTAAGTTCTTGATCGTAGAATTTTAGTAGTAAATGGCAGGGTTTAATTATGAAAAACTATTTTTTATTATATGTTTAGGGATATTTAGATAACTCCCCAAGGTTTTTTAGGACAAAAATACCCTTAAAAATAAATAAAAAGAGATGTAAGTGAAAATTTTATTCCATAAGACAGTGAGGTCCGTATTAACTCTATGTCATGGAGTGATACACCCAAAATACACTTCCCAAAAGAAGTATAAGTGGTCATTGCCAAATAAAGATCCTAACTTTAAGGTTAGGATCGATCCCACGAGAAATATGGTTTAGAATTATGCTAACTTACACTTATCTATGTTTAGTCAAACTATTTCTGAGAAAAGTAACAAAAGGGTTTTTAAAAAAAGTAAAATAACAGTTTGTTGATTTGTATCAACATAATTTGCAGTTTGAGATATCAATATGAGATGGAAACTAGAGTATATAAGTGTTCCCCACAAGCTCTTAACGTAGTGTTCCTAACAATAACAACTCTATTCTAGTGTTCGACATGCAAGGTTGATAAGTTGGGTATCCCTAAGTGATTGGTTCTCCAAGTAGGGAAATTCACCACGCAACTTGGTCCGTATACAGGTCTGTACTTTACTAACCCTTAATTAGCCCTCACGTCAATTGAGTTGGGTATTAGCCCTCACATTAATTGATTAAGGTCAGACTATTAGATAGCAACTAATCTTAACTAGATCACCGTTGTTTAATCCTCTTCTCATTCATTACCTCCTTGGTCCGGCAAGTAGGAACGAAGCGAGTTTAAATGTTGTCCATCGTTAAAAAGCATTCTAAACGAAAGGATTAGCAATATATGCATAAAAACTATTCTAGAATTACTTATTTATCAGCCATACTTTGTTAATTGCTCATGGTTTCCACAACCCTAGTTGTGGATTTATCTATTCATGCTTGAGAATTCATATTTCATATTGTTGTTAATAAAAAGAATCATGAACTTAAAATCAAAGTAGCTGAATACCGAAATCTTGAATTGAAAATCAAAAGCAAATTGCATAAACGAGCTTCAAGAATTAAGTTGCTAAAAAGTTTGCAAAATAATTCCAAAAGCTTAGGACAATAGTCTCAAAAAAGGTCTAACCTTTAAAAACGTAAATTATAACTTATATTTATAGTACTTAAATCCTAAACCATTTAGGAAACGAAAATAAGGAAAATTTGATTTTGGCAGTTTTCGACCTACGGTGACCAACGTCGGACTGTGGATCAGCCAACGGTTCGTGGGTCACCTCCGTGGTTCAGCAGTTGGCAAAAATTCTTGGTTTTCTCATTGATTGTTATCACTATGGTTCATAGGTCCTGTTAGGATCCATTTTGCACATCTGTGGTTCAAGTATCGGTACTCATTTTTCTGAATCAAACGAGGGCTCCTACTGACGGTCCGTCACTCGAGCTACGGGGCGTAGGTCACTTTCGTGGTTCCACACTTAGGTAGACTTCCTTGAAAAACTGAACCACGGCTTCCACCTACGGCTTGTCAACTGAGTGACGGCTCGTGGGTGATCTCGTATGTCACCAAACTCATGCTGTTTCAACTGTCTTTAACGACAACTGGTTCAAACAGATTTCCTGCAAAATGAGATCAAACACCATCTTATCTAATAACAAAATGCCCAAGACTCACATAAACTCCAAGTGAAATGCATCAAAAATACCGTAAAACTCATGATATATCAACACCTAAAATTGTTATTTGTCCTAAAATGACACACTAAAACTCTAAATGACACTCATGTAGAAGCAAACATAGAAACTCAAGCAATCACATGACTTTTTCTCAATCAACACTTTCACTTAGTGCAAATATTTTCATTTAGACTCAATAAGCTAACTCGTACAGATCAAAACATGACATAGACAGACCAATAGATATCACCACATACACTTTTCAACAATCACCAAGATACCAACTTTCCAACAATATAACTAGTTCCCTTACCACAAAGAAATCCTTTTTTTCACACAAAATCTGATATTTATGTTTTAGGATTCAGTAAACACTCACTCTCAGAAGTGAATTCATATACAATTAGTGCTCAATACCATATGATTTCCCTTATTTTCTCTACATAGACTCTCAAGACTGGTCACTAGGATCACTATAGGGCTCCCTTAGCTTGTAACGTAGGCTCAGGGTCAGGTAGGATACATTTGGGTAATTTTAATGACTTTTCTGCCTTCCTTGACATTACATTGGCTAGTTACCTCTTTTCTGAACCAATTCTTACATCTTTTTGTTTTCTGCACTTTTCCTTGGCTTATTTCAGCACATATGTGACTTTGACTTTTTCATTCTTTTTTTTCGCTTTTCTTTTTCTTTTACTTCTTGTTTCTTTGTTATTCATCATCATTATAACTATTTTGTTTCTTTTGAATTCAGTCACATATTTTTCTACCTTTTTTTTCTTCTATACACAACTCCTTTCATACCCTTTTATTTCAGCTTCATTTTTTATAGCCACCCTCAACTTATGTATTTTTCATGAGTTGAGGTGCACAATGTCCTAGGTCGGACCAGGGTTGAGATTAAGGTAAATTATGAATTAGCCACCCGCAATTTAGGCTTTTGGACTAAGTGATGGTGCACAATGTCTAAGGAGGGACCAGGGCCAAAACAAATTTTTAGGAAAGGTGAGTTAGGTGTATTGAAAGAAGTGGTATTCGTTAGGTTCAAACATTTGGATTGAAAGGAACATTTATTTCTTTTGGTTGTATTCATTTAGGTTTAAGTGGACCTATTATTAACAAGGGCCTATGATCATTTCCCAATTTCCATCCAGATTATCTTAGCAGGACCAACGAGGCAAGTTCTAGATTGATACACACTGCATGAATATACAAAATCATCTCACACACCGTTGACACATTGTTTCATTATCGAATCATTGAAGCCTCTGGTTCAAGTTCTAGATTAAGTCATGCTATCATACCAATTCCTATCATATCACATAAAAATCCAATTCATTCAACTCATTAAGCCTACAAATATAACACAATTCAAAATTTTGGACAAATGTCAATTTTTATGCTTATGCCATCATGCTTTCATACTACTTCTACACTTATACAATCCTAAACATGCCGGTTCAACATAAATGTAAAACAATCCCTTTGGGGGAATAGAACACATGAAAGAAAATCCCAAGGGAGGGTTATGAGTTGGGTTACTCAGACTTCACCCTACCACTCAGAACCCATTTACCCCACCCAAAAAAATTGATGCAATTTCCCTCTATGCAAAAAAGAATATAGGACAAAGGGTGAAGAAAACTAGTGGAGCATAAGCGCCGAAGACCCATCAAGAATCGAGTGGGTTCGGTTTCTCGAAACCCGCTGGATCAACAATAGTGATGCCCTTGGTAGCGCCCTTATCAACAGTGGGAACACCATCAGTAGTGCTTCTCGAACCTGATGAACCAATAATTGCCATCTCACGGGCTCTCCGCTGTCGTAGCTCCTCCTCAAAAAGAGACTGTCTCTATGCTGCCTCGATCTGTTGCTTCTTTCTCTTCTTAGCTCGTCGGGCCTCCTCAGCAGCTGAAGTCTGCTCAGAAGAGCGGGTGCCCTTCCCAGGTTCACGGGAAGGGTCAGGTGATGGCATAGTATCACCAAAAAGTGCAGTCATCACCACCTCATCCTCAGGTGTGGGCTCGGGGACGGTCTCAGCGGATGAAAGGAGGGCATCAACATCAGATCGAAGCCTAGTCAACTCCATCTGGAAAGTAGTAACATCATTAGTGGGGCAAGGCCTCTCCAATACACGAAGCTCAAATGCATCTAAACGTTTGTGGACCACCTGAATCTTAACATCCATCATCCTCTCCATACGAGCCTCGAACTCCTCGACGGACCTCTGCATCCATAGTCGCATGTGCTGTAGCATGGTGGCCATCAGGGTCTCCAACTTTTGGACTCAAGTTAGAGGTACTAAAGTGGAGCTCGAAGTGGTAGTGGCTCGTGAAGAGCTAACAACATGACTATTGGAAGTGGAAGGGGTAGCGCGTACATCTGCTGTAGTGGCATGCATCGTAATTTCACTAACCTGCTCAACCTCAATCTGCTCCACATCTTTGGCTAGATCAGCACCCAAAAGAGGTAGGTCAACCTGTGGTCCCTTCCGCGGTGCTGCAGGGTTAGCATCATCTCTAATGAGGCCGACATCAACGATCTTTGTCGCCTCTGTCCATCTGTCACAATGCCATATAGGCACTGAGCTGAAAAATAAGACAATGGAAAGGCAAGGTGGTAGTAGTCTTGAATGCCCTCTCATGTATCTCGGCAATCAGAAGTCAAGATCGAGCCCCGTAATAATTGATGCTAGCGTCACAACTCTGTGCCAATTTACCAAGTTGTCTGCCTGTGTAGGAGATATTCTAGTACTCACAATCAACTATAAGAACTTCGCTGTGAAGCTCAGGGTTGCCTTTATGATAGGTAAAGTATTGTTACGCACCTACTCGGTGCTCTCTCCATCCTCAGCAATATGACGGGACATCCATCGCAAGAAGGCTTCTCGCTACTCGACATCCTTCTAAAATGCCCCACTCTTAACCACCCCTATCCTGTATCATACTCAACATTATTAATCGATAGAGTGCGGGATGGGCCGTAAATAAAATAGCAAATAGTAGTCTCGAAGATGTCTACGGAGAAGTTCCGCACCAATGTGGCTTGTAGTGGAGGCTGAGCTAGTGGCTTAGCCCATTTAGGCATAGTGTTCCATACGGTGGCAACATAGGAGGCATAGAAATCACGGGCCATCTCCTCGCTAAACTTTCCCGGACTCCGTGCCATTTAGTCATACTTATGTTTTTTGAACAAATCCTCAATGGGTGGCACAGTGTGGATTCTCCCAGTGAGTACCCAATGCTCCTCAGTAATAGTCTTAGCCTGCTTCTGCTACTCGTTCTGGTACTGCCCATCGTAGTAAATTTGGAACTGGCCCTCAACACACCACCTGTTTGGCTCAATGGATAGATGAACATGGAACATCAGTATGCCAGGCGGGTCATGAGCCTCTCCGAATCTAGTGGGATTGGATATGGAGGCTGGTGTGCCACTGGAATTGGAGCCAAAATATTACTTTGAGCCGAATTGTGAGTCTTCCAAATGGTGGACCCCTCCTCAGACTGGGGGAAACTACGGGATTGGGTGAGTGTTCCTCCTTCCATACTGCCACCTGCCTATTTCGGCACCTCGTGGTCAAGGGGGATGTGGGGGAGCCTCTAGTGTGCTCGGGTGCGTACTCCTCCCCACTGGAGTCGTTGATGAGTCGAAGCGAGGGTGCTACCGACTTCAACTTTCCCTTCCTCAAGTAAACGGGTGCTTGTTTAGGGGCCATTGAACCTTTGAAAGCTTAGTTAGTAAACAAAGAACTCAAAAAGAACCAAGAAAATAATTTTAGAACACTATTTGGACTAGGACAAAAAATAAAAAAACTCTGTCAGTAACTGTTTTTATGATCTACGGTGGATACCTATGGACTGTCGATGGAGTGACAAGCCGTGGGTCCCCTCTGTATGTCAGGGAATCCATTTTTGGGTCTCTGATGCTGGAACCACAGACGTTCAAAATGGTCCGTCGATTGAATGACGGACCATAGCCCATGTCGTGGTTTATGACTTTGCCATTTTTTGTGTGAACTAGATCGACGGACCATGACCTACTTTCTATAGGCTGACCTATGGTCCGTGGGTTAAGATCATCGACCAGTTCTGTAAGCAAACATGAGATTTCACTTTTTGTTCATCGAATTCAATTACAACAATCAACACCTATACGATATCTAAACATGCATTTCAACACATTTAATGGTAGTCTATCATCCCTAGGGTTTCAATCATGCAAATTTCCAATTCCACTTAATTCAATTTGAAAAACCCTAAGTCAAGCCATTTAATTAGACATCGAACCCATATTTATATAGTTCAAAATAGCAACACACAACCCAATCGTCCAGAGGGTAGTTTTAGAACTAATTTTCAACAATTTTAACATGTGATTATCTACCCAAGGTCAAGTACAACTCTGTGACTTCAATTGAAACAATTAAGAATTCAAAATTTTGGTGAAATCGATTACCTTACAAGTAAAGCAAAGTTGAGGAGTGTATTGATAGTGATTACAAGTAAAGCAAACTTGACACCGAACCCGGACCTTGATGCTTGTTGGAAGGAAGCAAATATGGAGAGAAATAGGGTTTTGGGCAGATTTGTGAGAGATTAAGGAAGATGTGATGAGGATATATGGGAGTAATTATAGAGTTTGATGGGTGTTTAATGGGGGGAACTAATGGTTTAAAATGATTGGGGAGAAGAGAGAAATGGGGGGTGTGTTTAAAATTGAAAGGTTTTTATTAAATAGGGGTCCGAGTCAGGTCAACCGAAAACCCTAACTTGGACCCACGAAACCTCATCGATGGTCCGTGTGTCAACCGAGGTCCATCGATGTGTTCTGTTGTTCACTCTTATACTTAGTGAAATTGAGAAAACATACATGGGATCTACAAATGCCATCCACGGTATCAATATAACTTTTGGAGATTTTTCCTTATCTTTCCTGCACACATAGCAAACATTAGGACTTCCTTTTTACAATTTTTGGACTCTTTCTAAACACGAACCCTATTCTACCCTCATCCAACCAACACTAAGACTCAAACATAAAATTCTATCTAAGCTACTAATTTTTTTTTCAAAAAACTCAACTTTGTAGAAAAGAAAACTCCTATCGTTGGCTAGAATGTACATCTTGTGTTGCCTCCCAAGTAGCTCTTGATTTAGCGTCGTGGCATGACACAGACACCTTGATTACTTAGACTTCATCAAGACCCCAATTCTCTATCAACTCGTTGACAATCTTCGATTTTCCCAAGTAGATATTTATCCACTGACCGTTCACTTTGAACCTTGTTCCTTCATTGTTCTTGAGTTCAACAACTCCATGTGGAAATACTTGAGTAACTTTGAATGGCCCGGTCCACTTTTTCTTGAGTTTTCCAAGAAACAAGCGAACCTCAAGTTAAATAATAGCACCAGATCACCACGAGCAAATTCACGCTTTTTGATCTTTTGATCATGGTAGTTCTTCATCTTCTCATTGTACATGGCTGAACTTTCATATGATTTTAGGCGAAACTCATCAAACTCATTCATCTCATTCATTTTTTGACTTGATGCGGTGCCCCAATCCAAATTCAGCTTCTTGAGTGCCTACATCGCTTTGTGCTCTAGCTCTACAGGAAAATGAAAAGACTTACCATATATGAGTTGGTAGGGGGACATACCTATGTGAGTTTTGAATGTAGTGCGATAAGCCCATAGAGCATCGTCAAGCCTTCTTGACCAATCAGTTCTGTTGGCATTTATAGTCTTCACATGGATTTGCTTTATCTCTTGATTTGACACTTCAACTTGCCCACTCGACTGCGGAGGATAAGGTGTTGCTACACTGTGACGAACACCATACTTCTCAAGCAACGCCTTGAAAAACTTATTACAAAAGTGAGAACCTCCATCACTAATGATTGCTTTTGGTGTACCAAATCTGAAGATGATATTCTTTTTCAGGAATGCAGTGACACTCTTTCCTTCATTGTTTGAAAGCACAATTGCTTCCATCCATTTAGATACATAGTCAACCACCACAAGAATATACTTCACCCCATTCGAACTCACAGACATGCCCATGAAGTCAAGAAACCAAACATCAAAAAGCTCAATCACCAATATTGGTTCATTGGTAGTTCTTGCTTCCTTGAAATTCCTTTTTTACGCTGGCAATGATCACAAGACTTGGCAAAATCATGACCATATTTGTGCATGGTAGGCTAGTAATACCCACACTGCAGAATTTTTTTGGGCAGTTTCGAATACCACTATCGGGACTTCCAATAGGCAATGAATGACACGTCTCTAGTATACTCATCATCTCAACCTTGGGCACACACCGACGAATAATCCCATCAGCACAAACATGAAACAAGTAAGGTTCTTCCCAAAATAATTTCTTCACATTAAACATGAAATTTCTCCTTTAGTGGGATGACAAATCCGACGACACCAAATCACTTGCCAAATAGTTAGCAAAGTCTAAGAACCAAGGGATAAGTTCATATGAAGCATCCAATACCAGCTCATTAGGGAATGCATCATTAATCTCAACTCCATCATCAATCTTGATCATAGCTTCCTCCTCTAATCTGGATAAGTGATCGGCAACCTGATTTTCTGTTCCTTTCCTTTCTTTCACCTCAAAGTCGAACTCTTGTAACAATAACACCCATCAAATCAATCTCAGTTTTTCATCTTTCTTAGCCATAAGATAACTCAATGCAGAATGATTAATATGCATAATAACCTTAGTACCAAGAAAATAGGATCTAAACTTCTCGAATGCAAAAACCACAACAAGCAGTTCCTATTCAGTCACAGTGTAGTTCTTTTTAGCAACATTCAAAGCTTTGCTTGCATAGTAAATATGATAAAGAATTTTCTCTCGCCTTTGTCCTAATACTACGCCAAGCTCTACCCCCCTCACATCAAACATGACTTCAAATGGTTGTCCCTAATCTGGTGAAATAATGACAGGTGCAGAAATCAATTTCTTTTTAAACTCCCAAAATGCTCTCAGACAAGCATCATCAAACTCAAACTTACACTCCTTCTCAAGTAGCTTGCACAATGGGTGTGCAATTTTAGAGAAATCCTTTATAAATCTCCTATACTAACCTGCATGCCCATGAAAACTTCTCACACGTTTTACAGAAATAGGTGGTGGGAATTTTGCTATTACCTCAACTTTAGATCTATCAACTTCAATACCTTTCTGTGAAATTTGATGACCCAGATACCCTCTTTCACAATAAAGGGGTACTTTTCCCAATTAAACACAAGATTGCACTCTTCGCACCGTTTTAGCACCTGAGCCAAATGAGTCAAACAATCATCAAATGAGTCACCTACTATAGAGAAATCATCCATAAATACCTGTATCGGGTCCTCCACCATATAAGAAAATATCGACATCATGCAACGGTAGAAGGTCACCGGAGCATTACATAACCCAAACAACATTATCTTAAACGCAAAAGTCCCATAAGGACAAGTGAATGTGGTCTTCTCTTGGTTCTTCGGAGCTATGGAGATCTGATTGTAGCCCGAATACCCATCTAGAAAACAATACCAACTTTTTCTAGTGAGACGATCTAATATTTGATCCATGAACGACATTGGGAAGTGGTCTTTCTTAGTCCATGCATTCAACTTGCGGTAGTCCATACACACTCTCCAAACAGTTACCGACCTCATTGGAATAAGCCCATTCTTAGCATTGGGAACCGAACCAATTCCTTCTTTCTTTGGCACACATTGAACTGGGTTGACCTAACTACTATCAACAACAATATATATAACTCCACCATCTAACCATTTAATGATCTCATTTTTAACAACCTCTTGCATTGGGGGATTCAATCTCCTTTGATGCTCAATACTTGGCTTGCTGTCCAGCATGAGTTGGATTTTGTGAGAACAAATGCCCAGTGGAATCCCCATAATGTCTGCAATAGTCCATCCGATAGCCCTTTTAAACCGCTTTAATACCAATATCAAAGCCTCTATTTTCCCTTTATTCAAGTCTACATCAATAATTATAGGCAAAGTGCTATTTTGGCCCAAAAAACATACCGCAAGTGAGAGGGAAGAACCTTAAGTTCCAACTTTGGAGGCTCATCAACAGATGGTTTTGCTGGTGGGGTGTCTCGATCCTTCATGTCTAATTTAAACCGCTTTGGTTTGAAACGAAACTGAAACCCATCAAGTGCAGTAGCTAACTCATCATAGTCATCAATACCATCACTGTCAAAATTCATGATCACAACTGCTAGTGCCTAAATACCTAACCTCTCTTTAATAGACACTTCTGATTCTTGCTCCACAATATGATTACCAACTTACTTAAGATCACTTTCATGCCTCATAGATCGATATGTATTAAAAGTTACCTTCTCATTATTTAACTAAAATTTATCTTCCCTCTCTCCATATCAACCAACGCACGCCCAGTAGTAAGAAATGGTCTCCCTAGAATGATATGGACCTCAAAATCAACCTTGCAATCCAGTATCACAAAGTCCACCGAAAATGCGAATGACTCAACTTTCACAATGACATCTGGTGACTAGCAGTTTGATGCAAATGCTTACATGGAGGGGTTTGTTTTTGTTTTCTGGTATGGCTTCAGAAGATTCGCATGGGCACATGGCCAAGTTGAGAAGTGTTTGTAAGAGTTGTGTGGGGTGACCAGAGTTGGATATGAACGTCATAGGGTTGAGAGTTTTCCCTCTATCATTGACCGGAGATGCTACTATATGGTTTTCTGAGCTCCCGTACAACTCCATCCATACATGGGACCAATTGCACAAAGTTTTCATGGCCAAGTACTTTCCATTGTCAAAGAAGCTGAACCATAAAGATAAACTCAACAACTTCGTGGCACTACTTGGAGAGTCTGTGAGTAGTTTGTGGGACATGTTCACTACATTCATAAGAAGGGTTCCGAACCACCGCATTGATGATGAGTCACGAAAAGAGTATTTATACAGAGGTCAAGATGACAACGGTAAGGCTGTGCTTGATACTATCGCTAGAGGATCATATGGTGAGTGCACTTTAGAGGAGATCACTGAGAAACTGAAGAAGATTTCCCGAAACAATAAAGCATGGAGCACTCAAAAGTTTGACACTGGAAGAAGCACATTTGCAATTCAAGCTGCAGCTAGCCAATCTGCCGATGACATTAGTGAGGAGATGGCGCAGATAAGGACAAAACTTGAGTTGGTATTGAAGCATGTAAGCGGAGGTCCAAAAAAGGTAAATGCAGTGAATTACTTGACTAGGACTCCACCACCACCGAAGGATGAATGTTACTATGAAGAGGATGCGTACTTGGTAAATGATCAGACGGGGGACTTTCGAGCCAACGCCTAAAGTTCCAATTCGGATAATTGGCACCAAGGTCAAGGAAACCAAGGTCGGAACTATGGTAACTAAAATTGAGAGGGTCAATATGTCCGGGATGGGAACTACAATCGTGACAACATCTACAACCGGAACAACTATGGCAATAGGAATGATAGAGTTGGGCCTTATGTCCCTCCACAAAATTGGTAATCTGACAATAGGGAAGCTAGGGGTAGTATGTCATGGATTGAGGATATGATGCAGAAGAAGATAATGATGAGGTTTGATTCGACTGATGAGATTGTGAATAAGGTGCGAAATGACTTGTCTTGAATCGGTCAAAAAGTTGATGCCCATGCAGTGTCGATCAAGAAACTTGAGTAGCAGATGAATCAGTTGTCCACTACAGTCAACCCATGTCAGCTTGGCACACTTCCTAGCTACACCATCCAGAATCCAAAGAATGATGGGCATTGTATGACAGCCATTTCTTGAGGGGGTAAGTAGACCATCGATCCACCTATGCCGTTTGAAGTTGAAATTGTGGTTGAGAAAGATGATGATGAGATTGAGGTTACTGGAGAGTCCAAGAATGCTACAGAGAGGGAAGCGGAGATAACCCAAAAAGTTGTCCCCATGCCTAGACCTCCACCTCCATTCCCACAGAGGTTGGTGAAGAAGAATGGAGAAGAAAAGTACTGCAGGTTTATTGCTATGTTGAAACAACTTTCCATTAATGTTCTGTTGATAGAAGTTTTGGAGCAAATGCCTGAGTATGCAAAGTTCATGAAAGATTTTGTGACTAAAAAGAGGGCCATCAGTTTTGAAGATTATGATAGATTGCAACATTGTAGTGCTATTGCTACGAGGTCACTTGTGCAGAAGAAGGAGGATCCTGGTGCCTTCACTATCTATGTACTATCGGGTTATTGCATTTTGCAAAGGCGTTGTGTGATTTGGGTGCTAGAATTCATCTGATGCGATTGTCTATTTACAAAAAGTTGTGATTAGGGGCTCCAAAACCGACTGTGATGCGATTGCTCATGGACGATAGAAATATGAAGAGTCCCATTGGTGTGCTCCAAGATGTACTTGTTAAAGTGGAGTCTTTTATCTTTCCAGCGGATTTTGTGATCCTTGATTGTGAGGTCGGTTTTGAGGTTCCCATCATACTTGGGAGACCATTCCTTGCTACTGGGCGTGCCTTAGTCTATATGGAGAAGGGGCAGATGAAGTTTCGATTGAATAGTGAAGAGGTAACTTTTAATAGCTGTAGGTCCATGAAGCAGGAAAGTGATCTCAAGACAGTGTCAGTGGTGACTCATATGGTGGAGCGAGGTTCTAAGGTGTCTATTGAAGAGCGATTGGGTGTTGATACATTGGCAGCAGTTATGATAAATTTTGAGGGTGATGGTATTGAAGACTATGATGAATTGGTCGCCGCACTTGATAGGTTCGCATTCCGTTCCAAACCGAAGAAATTGGAGTTAGATATGAAGAATGGCGACTCTCCACCTGCAAAATTGTCTGGTGAAGAGGATCCAAAATTGGAGCTTAAGGTTCTACCGTCACATTTGAGGTCTGTATTCTTGGGGAGAGATGGTACTTTAACGGTCATCTTTGCGGCTGATTCGAATGCAGAACAAGTTGAGGCTTTGGTTTCTGTGTTAAAAAGGTTCAAGAGGGCTATTGAGTGGACTATTGCGAACATTATTGGGATTCCTCCTGGCATTTGTTCTCATAAAATCCAAATCATGCCAGATCATAAACCTAGTATTAAGCACCAAAGGAGACTAAGTCCGCCTACGCAAGAGGTAGTGAAAAAGGAAATCATCAAGTGGTTGGATCTAGAGTCATTTATCCCATTACAGATAGTAGTTGGGTTTGCCCTGTTCAGTGTGTGCCCAAGAAAGGTGGGATGACTGTGGTACCTAATGTGAGAAATACATTTGTTCCGATGTGGCCCATGACTAGATGGAGAGTATGCATGGACTACCGAAAATTGAATGCTTGGACAGAAAAGGACCACTTCCCTATGCCATTCATGAATCAGATGTTGGACCGGCTTGCGGGTAGGGTCGATATTGCTTTCTTGATAGTTATTTGGGCTACAATCAGATCTCAATAGCTTTAGAAGACCAAGAGAAGACCACATTCATTTGCCTTTATGGGACATTCGCCTTCAAACGAATGCCATTTGGGTTGTGTAATGCTCCAACGACCTTCCAGCATTGCATGATGTCGATATTCTCTGATATGGTAGAGGACACTATTGAGGTATTTATGGATGATTTCTCTGTGGTAGGTGACTCATTTGATCGTTGTTTGGATCATTTGGCCGAGGTATTGAAACGGTGTGAAGAGTGTAATCTTGTGCTAAATTGGGAAAAGTGCCACTTCATAGTGAAAGAGGGGATCGTTCTGGGTCATCAAATTTCTGAGAAGGGCATTGAGGTTGATAGAGCAAAAGATGAGGTAATAGAAAAGCTTCCACCACCTATCTTTATTAAAGGTGTTAGAAGTTTTCTTGGGCATGCAGGCTTTTATAAGAGGTTTATTAAGGATTTCTCCAAGATTGCACACCCATTGTGCAAATTTCTCGAAAAGGAGTGTAAGTTTGATTTTAATGATGCTTGTCTGAGAGCATTTGGAGAGTTAAAGGCAAAACTAGTTTCTGAACCTGTCATTATTTCACCAGATTTGTGGCAAGTGTTTGAGGTAATATTTGATGTGAGTGGAGTGGCGCTTGGTGTGGTTTTGGGACTGAGGTCATAAAATATTCTTTATCCTATTTACTATGCCAGCAAACTCTAAATGTGTCTCAAAAGAACTATATAGTGACTGAACAGGAACTCCTTGCTGTGGTTTTTGCATTCGAGAAATTTTGAACCTACTTGCTTGGTACTAAGGTCATAGTGCATATTGACCATTCTGCATTGAGGTATTTGATGGCTAAGAAGGATTCAAAACCTAGGTTGATCAGATGGGTGTTGTTGCTAGAGGAGTTCAATTTTGAGGTGAAAGATAGAAAAGGGATAGAAAATCAAGGTTCCGATCACTACTCTAGATTACAGGAAGAAGCTATGCTCAAGTTAGGAGATGGGGCTGAAATTAATGATGTTTTCCGAAATGAACAAGTATTGTCCGCTTCTCATGATCTGATTCCTTGGTTCGCAGACTTTGATAACTACTTGTTAAGTGATCTGGTTCCATAGGATTCGTGTTTTCACAATGGAAAATGTTTATGCATGATGTGAAGAAGTTCTTTAGGGATGAGCCTTACTTGTTCCGTATTTGTGTTGATGGGATTATTCGTCGCTGTGTGCCCGAGGTTGAGATGATGAGTATACTAGAGGCATGTCACTCTTCACCTATTGGTGGGAATCATAGTGGTATTCGGACTGCGCATAAAATTTTGTAGTCTGGGTATTATTGGCCTACCATCACTCATGATTTCGCCAAGTCTTGTGATCGTTTCCAAAGAGAAGGAGGAATTTCAAAGAGGCAAGAGCTTCATATGAATCCAATATTGGTGATTGAGTTGTTTGATGTATGGGGCATTGATTTTATAGGTCCATTTGTATATTCTTGTTGCGCTTGATTATGTGTCAAAGTTGGTGGAAGCAATTGCACTTTCCAACAATGAAGGTAAAAGTGTCACCGCATTCCTGAAAAATAATATCTTCTCAAGATTTGTTACACCTAGGGCGATTATTAGTGATGAAGGTTCTCACTTCTGTAATAAGTTGTTCAAGGCGCTAATTGAGAAATATGGCGTCCGCCACAATGTAGCCACTCCTTACCATCCACAGTCTAGTGGGCAAGTTGAATTGTCCAACAAAGAGATCAAACAGATTCTTGCTAAGACAGTGAATGCTAATAGAACAGATTGGTCAAAGAGGCTTGATGATGCTCTATGGGCCTATCGCACTGCTTTCAAGACTCCCATAGGTATGTCCCCCTACTTGTATATGGGAAGTCTTGTCATTTGCCGATAGAGCTAGAGCATAAGGCTATGTGGGCGCTAAATAAGTTAAATTTGGATTGGGGCACCGCATCAAATCAAAGAGAGAATGACATGAATGAGCTTGATGAGTTTCGCCTAAGAGCTTATGAAAGTTCATCCTTGTACAAGGAGAAGATGAAGAGTATCACGATCAAAAGATTGGAAATCGCAAATTTGTTGTGGGTGATTTGGTACTTTTATTCAACTCTAGGTTGCGCTTGTTTCCTGGCAAGCTCAAGTCCAAGTGGACCGGGCCATTCATAGTCGCTCAAGTGTTCCCACATGGAATGGTCGAGCTCGATAACAAGGAGAGATCAAGGTTTAAGGTGAATGGGCAAAGGATCAAGGTCTACACGGGCAAAGATGAGAATGTGCAAGAGGTGGTTGAGGCCTACTATCTTGACTAAGTATGAGTAATCAAGAGTCCTGCGTCGTGTCGCGACGTTAAATCAAGCGCTGTTTGGGAGGCAACCCAAGATGTACAATCTAGCCAACTATAGGTTTTTCTTTTCGATTTAGGAGTTTTCTTTGTTTAGTTGATTTTCTGTAATTCTTTAGATTGGTATTGTATTTTTGTTTTAGTGTTGGTTAGATATAGAGTAGGGTCCGTGTCTGGAAAGTGTCCATCTTTTCAATGGGTTGTTTTTGTATGAAATTGCATGATAAACTATAGTTAGAAACACCCTTTGTAATCAAATAAATATGGGTAAATAGTCTAAATGGAAGTTTCGACTTAGGGTTCCTAGTTTTGCATGCTACAAAAGTTAAATAATGAGTAATCGAAACCCTAGGGATGACAAACTACCATAAATTGTGTTGAAATGCATGATTAGACTTAGGTTGAGTGTTTGACTTGTTAAAAAATGGTTTAAAAATGAGGCATGTCTGATACCTGGCACAGACCTGACCCACGATACCCCGTCCACGGATTGTAGGTCAACCTACATACCGTAGATCAGGTCCGTGGGTCTTTTGCACATGGAGAATCCACTAACTGTGGAATCACGAAGATGGACTACGGTTTGTAAGTCAACCTACAGACCATTTTGCACATCTGTGGTTCCCATCAGAGCCCAAATTTTTGGGACTTCTGACCTACAGAGGGGACTCATGGACTGTAGGTCAACCTACGGACCGTAGGTGGCCACTGATGCTATTGTACAAAAGCAATTTAGTTTTTGTTTTGGTTTGTTCTTTAGTCTAAATTTTTTTCAAGTGTGCTATTGGTTTATTTTGGTACTAATTCATCCTCCATAGGTACCACGGCTACCAAGATATAGAACTCCCAGCAATTTGGGGGTTCAAACGGCGGGAAAAGTCGAGGTCACCGACTTGTTCGGCGAGTCGTTAACTGAGCCTTTTGTTCACCGAGTTTTACAAAGTTCCTCATCAGGCTGGGTGGTTCCAACGGTTGTCCAAGTTGGGCTTCGCCAACCTGTTTGGCGTGTCGCTGACTGGACTTTTGCTTGCCAACCTACCCAGTTTCAAAAACCTTTCACTACCCGTTATTCAAAACAAAAACTAAAGAATCAAAAACATGGGTTGCCTCCCGATGGCTCAATTAATCACTATTGAGCGCAGGGTTCTCACAGGCAGCTTACACACCATGCCCGTCATTCATGAGCTCTTCAAGAGACACATGTGCTAGTGGATGGCTCGTAGACTAGGGTCTTACAACGAGGAGATTGTGAGGGAGTTCTATGCTTCCTACGCAGCCAACCTCCAAGGTTTCAATGACAGACGGGCCAAGCCAGTCGCCCAGCCTCCATTCATAACAACACTAGTTCGTGGATTCTCATTTGATATCTCGGAGGCTACTATCTTCAGGTTCCTCTACGGCCTGGGCCACACTCTAGCAATCAACACGACTGCGTTTTATTATCAGTGGGACATTGTGAAGAGTGGGGCATTCAAGTGGAATGCAGAGTAGAGGGAGACTTTATTGCTGTGGTTGTCCCGTCACCTTGCTACAGACAGAGAACGCACCGAGTGGGTCAACAACCCGAGTGGAGGCATCTAGAAGGCCGCTTTGACTTTTGTGGCCAAATACATTTGGCTATTGGTGCGAAACAAGGTATCTCCTACACAGGCATACAATGTTCTTACTTGGGACCGCACAATTATGTTGGCAGCCCTAGTTGCTGTGTTCGAGATGGATTTTGACCGCATGATTACTGTAGAGATACATGAGAGGGCCTTCAAGGACACTACCACTTACCCCTTCCCATGCCTCATTTTTCAGTTGTGAAGAGGACTCTGGAGTGCCGATTTGGCATTGTGATAAGTTAATTCAGGCGACCAAGAACCTGGATATAGACCTGATTTGAGATGAGACCAATGTAGCTACACCGCGTAGAGAGCCGTAGGTTGAGGTGCCTCCACTAGGAGAAGACATAGTGATAGATGTGGAGAAGATACATATTGATGAGCCTGCCCCTCCAGCCCCCACTGAGGATTCTCCTGCTTCCCATTCTTCGGCCGCCAGTCAGGCCCTAGCTCCTCCAGATCCACTCACTCTTCATGGTCTGCGACAGTGCCTCTAGCCCGTATTCAGAAGCTGGAGGCTCAGATGGCCACACTACTTCTGCATGTGAGGCCGTGGATACAACGATTGATTGAGGAGTCCGCGACTAGGGTTGAGCATCAGATGGAGCAGATGATGGACCGTAAGGTTCAGACCATTCACCAGCGCCTTGAATCATTTGAGCTACGCGTCTAAGAGCGACCAACCCTTACTACTGATGTTTCTGCTTTCCAGACAGAGCTATCTAGTCTCCGGGCTGATATTGACACCCTTCTAGCTCCACCTGAGACTGAGCCATAGTCGGCACCCACATCATTGGTTAATGATACAGTGTTAGATTCACTTTTTAGAGATGAGATGCCACCACCTTATTCTTCTTGTCATACTGGGAAGCGGCCCCACTCTGGTAAGACTTCTGATGTCACTGAGGTTGGGAGAGCTCACAAGAGCTTGAGGTAGCATGAAAGGCCTCTATTGTTGATGAGGAGATGCACCAACAGCGGGCGAGGGAGGTAGGTGTTGGTGCCTCTAGCAGTGTGAGCACCACTGATGGTGCGGTGAGAGTTGAGGTTAGCACTACTAAGGGTGCTGAGACTGCTGATGTGGGAACTACTGAGGGTGACCCGATTGTTGATCCAGCGGGCTTCGGGAAACCAGACCCTCTCGATTGTTGATAGGTCTTCGGCGCTATGCACCATAGGTTTTCTTCACCCGATCCTTTATTCTTTACCTTTTGTGCATTGGCGACAATTGCACTCTATTTTGTTGGGGGTGGGGTAAATGGATTTGAGTGATAGGATGAAGTCTGAGCAACCCCTCATAATCCTCTCTTGGGGTTTTCTTGCTTGTGTTCTTTTCCCCCAAGAGACTATTTTAAATTCTGTTGAAGTGGCATGTGTAGGAATGTGTGTGTAGGATTAAGTAGAAAAATGAAAGCATGATGGCATGAGAAAAATGATCTTTGTCCCAAAATGTTGAATTGTGCTAGATCTGTAGTCTTGATGAGTTGAATGTGTAGGATCTCGAAATGATATGATAAGAACCAATTTGAACTCATGACTTAAGCTAAAACTTGAACTGGGTAATTTGATAATCTGATAATGAAACAATGTTCCAAGAGTGTGCGAGAAAAGTTGCATTGTTCAAACAGTTGTGCCAATCTAGAACATGCCCCATTGGTTGTACTAGGATAATCTAGGCTAGAAGTGGGGAAGTGATCATAGGCCATTGTTCAAATTAGTCCACTTAAGCGTAAAATGATCTAACCAAATGGTAGCATTATTCCTTTTGATCCAAATATTTGAGCCTAAAATAAACCATTTCTTTTGATTCACCTAACTCACCTTCCCTTAAACTATTGCCTTGGCCTCGGTCCCTCCTTGGACATGTGCACCTTGACTTAGGCCAAAAGCCTAAGTTGAGGGTGGCTAAGCCAAAAGTTACCTTGATATTGGCCCTGGTCCGACATCGGACAATGTGCACCTCAACTAATGCAAAATGCATAAGTTGAGGGTGGCTATGAAAGAGGAAACTAAATGGAAAAAAGGGTATGAAAAGAGTGTAGTGTTGTAAAGAGAAAAAAAAAAGAAAGAGGATGTGACTTTGTGCGAAAAAGAAAAAAATGTGATAAGTGAAAGTGTGAAAAAAATAAAAAAATAAAGAAAAACAAAGTGAAAGAAAAAAATTAAGTGTCACAAAGTCAAAATTTGTATCCATGTTGAAAAGAGTTAAGGGAAAGAATGTGAAATGAAAAGGGTCCAAAAATAGGTCAAGAAAGAGGTCAATAGCCAATGTAATGTCAAGGAGGGCAGAAAGTCACTAAAAAAGTACCCCACACCTGACCCTGAGCCTACATTACAAGCTAAGAAAGTCCTATAGTGATTCTAGCAACTAGTTTGGAGAGTCTAAGTAGTGAAAATAAGGGCAACCCTATGGTATTGAGCACTAACGGTACTTGAAGTAAATTCTGAGTGTGAGTGTTGAATGAATCCTAAAATTCTAAAATTCATATCTTTTGTGTGAAAAGGATTTCATTTGAAGTGAGGGCACTAGTGACATTGTCGGAAAGTTGGTACCTTGGTGATTATGAGAAAGTGTATATTGTGGTGTCTGTTGGTCGATCTTTGTCATATCTTGATCCGCATGAGTTAGCTTGTTGAGTCTGAGAGAAAAGATTTGCAATGAGATAGTGGGATGGATTGAAATAGCCATGTAATTGCTTGAGTTTGTAAATTTGCTTCTACACAAGTGTCGTTCAGAGTCTTAGTGCATCTCTTGAGGACAAACAACGAATTTAAGTTGAGGGTGTTGATATACCGTGAGTTTACGATATTTTTAATACATTTCACTTAAGAGTTGTGTGTGTCTAGGGCCATTTTGTATTAGAACTAATGTTTATTGTGCTATATTTGCAGGAAATAGACTTGGACGAGGTCAAGAGAGACAACAACTCAAATTCTACAGAAGGAGCCATCTACTGACGTGACCTACAGACCGTAGGTCCAGTCACGGTCCGTCGTTGGCAGGCGTGGAATGATCATCAGGGAAGTCTTGACCAAGGTGCGGGGTGAAATTCTCTATTTGACGGACCAAACATTTAGGGATACATAACTTACCACTTGGCATGTGATACACTAGGATAGGATTACTATTACTAGGATTACCGCATTATGAGCTTATGGGGAAAACATATACCCTAGTTTCTGTCTCTCATTGATAACAACAAAAGTTCGAACTTGCTCATTTGTTCTCTAAATTACAATCACTTATTTGTTACGCAATCCCCCCCTTTTACTTGTCTCAGAAATAAGTTGACTAAACGAATATAATAACGAGTTAAGTTTAAGTCTAAACCATATTCCTCGTGGGATCGATCCCAACCTCCAAGTTGGGTTCTTTACTTGATAATGATCACTTATACTTCTTTAGGGAGGTGTAATTTGAGCGTATTAAGAGTTGCATGCCATATTTGAGATCTCAGAGTTGGGGTTTTGATTCACCTAATACTTTGTGAGGCCCATGATTCTAGATACTCTATTCATCCAGGCACGCGAAGATGTATTGTTATTTAAGGCAGCATTATTGGTGGAGTGGCATGAGGAGCGATATTGAGGACTATGTATCCCGTTGCCTTAGTTTCAAGCCGGTGAAGGCCGAGCATTTGAGACCTGGAGGTGAGTTTTAGTGATTACCCATTTCGGATTGGAAGTGGAATCGCATCACTATGGATTTTGTGGCAAGTTTGCCTTGGACTTCTAAAGGTATTCATAGAATTTAGGTCATCGTTGATCAATTGACCAAGTCAGCTCACTTCCTCCCTATTCAGTCTTTATTAAGCACCGAGAGGTTGGTTCGTATCCACATTCGTGAGGTGGTTTGTCTTCATGGTGTGCTGGTGTCTATTAAATCAGACCGGGGTGCTCAACTTACTTCTAGATTCTAAAGGACTTTTCAGGATGAGTTGGGCAACCATGTTGACTTTAGCACAACTTTCCACCATCAAGCGGATGGATTGTCGGAGAATACTATTTAGGTTCTTGAGAACATGTTTCGGGCTTGTGTTTTAGAGTTTGGAGGTCGGTGGCACCAATTTTTGCCTTTAGCGGAGTTTGCATATAACAACAACTACCATTCTAGTATTAAGATGGCCCTTCTTGAGGCCTTATATAGTAAGTGTTGTCCCCCCCCCCCCCCCCCCCCCCAATTGGTTGGATTGAGTCCCTAGAGCCAAGACCGCATGGTACAGACTTGATTCAAGAGGCTTTGAACAAGGTGAGGGTGATTTAGGACAAACTTCGGACAGGTCAGAGTAGGTGCATGAGTTATGCTAATTGTAGGCGGCGGCTTTTGGGGTTTTTAGTGGGTGATAGAGTTTTTCTCCATGTGTCACTCATGAAGGGCGTGATGAGATTTGAGAGGTGGGCCAATATTATTCCTAGGTCTATTGGGCCTTTTGAGATCACTAGGACACTTGGCGAGGTTGTATATGAGTTGACTCTACCTCTGGTTTTCTCAGCTATCCACCTAGTTTTCCATGTTTCAATGTTGTAAT